GTGATGCATGTTTACAGTAGCCATGATTTTGTATAACAATAAACCTATATATAATAACTATATATACCAATAAAATAAATTAATGAGTACAGTCAATTTCATTTAGCAAACATAATTTACATCTTTTTAAAAATATTTGGTTTATGCCAAATGAGCAGCCACCCATTACTTGATATCATCAATTAAATTTCATACATATCACATGCTTCTTTAAATCAAATTACTATGGGCTGTACGCCTTTGTAACTTGGTGTATTATTAGCCACTTCCAAATATGTTTTGATATTCATATTATCTAAGCAGTAATGCAATATAATATGATTTTAGTAATCTACAGTTTGAACATCTAAGTTCAGTTTTTGCGAGAGTCCCAAGTGATACAGATTTAGCAACATATTTAACCAAGAGCTTAGCACACCATATATCATAACAAAATTAAAGAAGATAAGCAACATGACAGTTTGAAAAACCTGTTAACAAGCCCTGATTCTTTGCGACAGTAAGCAGCTTCTGACAAGATAAGATATTTTTATTAACCAATTATGGAGTACAATTAAACAAGAACAAGTGAACCCATTTACACAAAATAACATCTTTACAATATCATTGACACACAAATGCAGATAAATGTAGATAAAAGATAAGCTTTACTTGAATGCTGTATCTTTCTTTTCCAGGTCAAATATTGATATCCAAATAATTACATCAATACGGGCTTGCATAGCATACATTACTTCTTATATTTGCAAACCTGAGAAGAATATGTCTCAGCTCATGCAAAAATCAAGTAAGGAAACACAAGAAAAGGGAGTGACAGATAGTCTTTATTACATAGGTAACCAGCTCAGAAAAGGAAGAGAAGTTTCACATCATGAGGCAATAATGATATGTCTATCTGTTCCTTTTCGTAGATCAAATACACCAGTTATCTTTGTATCAACTGATTTTAAAGAAAACAGATCTCGTATTTTAAAGAAGAAATCTGTTCTTGATGAAGTGGAGGATGATGACCCAGATATTTACATGACAACTATTCATGACATATATGCTGCAAGACCAAACCGTCTGGAACAACTGTCATTTGCAGACTTTGTAGCAAATTACAGAGTTAAATCATCATCTTCAAATGATGAGTATAAAGAAGATGAACATTATGAGGTCGATGACAACCCCACAGATACTTTAATAAGGCTCATCAGATACCATTATGTATCTCAAGAAAGAGATGAGGAAGCATATTTTCACAGATTACTTCTATTGTACCAACCCTGAGGAGATGAAAGTAAATTAAAGACAAGTTTTTCTTACAAAGATTCATTTGAAAGTGTTAAAGAAAAACTTGTACCAACAATCAAATTAATTGAGCCATATCACGAGCCATATCACAAGACTATTTTGGAAAATTTTGATTCTGATGAGTTGGAACCAGAAATTTGGGAAAATCTAATGGCAAATATTTAGCAAGAAAAAGAAGGGGCTATTCAGGATGACCAAAACTATACCTATTTGGATCCAGAAAACTTGCCAGTTGATGTTCAGGAGGCAAATGTCGAAAAGAGATCAAACCATTAATATTTTTCTCTTTCAAAAACCTGTCAATTGCCAGAAAAATTACTACTATAGACTTATTCAGTCCTTGAACCAGAAACAGAGACACTTATTTGATTTCATCTTCTGTTGGACCACAGAAAGTAGAATATCTATAAATCATCCAGATTCATTTTTCATTTTCCGGAGTGGAGGATGAGGTGTCGGTAAATCACATTTGATTAATGCCATATATGAAGGTGTAACCAGAGCATTACGTACTCCTGCACACAAATCCAGAGAGCTACCAACAGTATTACTCAGTCTCAACTGAAAAGGCAGCAGTTAATATCAATGGCACAACACTTATTCTGCTTTCCATCTTCCCATTAAAGATAAATCTAACATGTTTTAATATAAAAAAAACCTAGTTCGGAGGCACTAAATACATTGAGAAGTCATTACATGAATGTCAAACTTATTATAGCGGATGAGATTTCAATGTTAACTGCATTTACATCTGACCCTCCAACACATATATGAGGAATACAAAAAAACATTTAAAGGAATTTCAATATTAGCAGTAGGAGACCTTTTACAATTAAACCCTGTTGGAGATTCACCTGTTTTCAAAAAAACTCCTTCTCTGGGTATGGTGCTATAGCTGAATCGTTATGGATACAACTCTTCAAACTTCATGAACTCACTGAAGTTGTTAGACAAAAGAGTGATCCTACTTTTGCAGAAATATTATCACGCATATGCATTGGTAATATCCTAGAGGATGATATCAGGCTTTTAACAGACATTGAAAACACACCAACAGACAAATTTCCAGAATCCACTGTTAAGATATTTTTAAGGGCATACGATACAGTTACAGGGGAGGTAATGACGTTGTTAACGTAAAATATTATTTTTCGCGACGTCAAACTGTGACATATCGGGAAAAGATGCTTTCTTCGACTGATTTTTATCATTCAGACTGATTTAACTTGAAAACGAGTTCATGGACCCCACTTTTTTAAAATGACATTAGGTTCGATTACGTATGAAGATTATTTGTACCAATTTTTATGAATAAGTCACCGATGAAATTTTTTAAGATTAGATAAATATACAGCAAAAATTGCCGTTTTTTTTTCTAAAATCACGAAACTTTGATAAAAAATAATTATTTCCAAAGAATTGTTATACAAATTCAGAGCATAGTTATGTAAGGAAGATTTGCAAATATTTATACAAAAATCCGCTTGTGTGTATCTTTTGAAACAAAAAAGTTAAGTATGTCTATCCAAAGGAGAGAAATGTCCCAAAAAACGAAATTTTTAGTAAATGTGTAAAATTTCGACCCCATTTATCTCTTAAAGTAGCACATGAAGGTAAATATTTTTATTATATATTTAGATTGATTAGGTGAACAATAGCTTGTATGCAAATTTTCGTTAAAAAATCACCGTGGGATCAAAACTGTATCGTATGCCCTTAACAAACAAACAAGTATCCATATTCAATGAAGACAAAGTGAATCTCTTGCCAGAAAAAGTAACCATTAAAGTAAAAGACAGCAAAAGGGATACAAGCACAAACACTGTTCCTATTACTATTACAGAGGAAAACAATTACAAAACAAGTGGGCTTCCATCAGTTCTCACAATTGCTAAAAATGCAAAAGTCATGATAACTAAGAACATTGACATAGCAGATCATCTAGTAAATGGTGTTATAGGTACTGTCCAAGAAATATATGTAAATCATAAAACTCCGACAAGTGGTATTATTTTCATGAAGTTTGGAAATCAAGCAATTGGTAGAGAGGCCAGGAAAGCAAGCCCTACTCCATTCAAAGATTGTATGCCAATAAAAGCAATCACATTCAACTTTTTATTGACATCTAATTGCCCAGTTCAAGTAGAAAGAACCATGTTTCCTTTGGTGCCAGCCTTTGGTATAACTGCACACAAATCTCAAGGTAGCACTTATGACTTTGTAATAGGTGATCTTACACTTCCATCATCAATAAAAACTGTCATGCCAGGACAAATCTACACAGTTTTAGTAGGGCAACAAGTAGAAGTGGATTGAAATTAATTTATTTCTCATCAAACAAAATCAAAGTAAGCTAGGCAGCATTAGATGAGATGGTAAGAATGAAACAAAATGCTATATTTAATTGAATTCATCCTTTAAACAACCTTCTAGCACAATTCTCAATGCACATCGGATTTTTTAAATATACGCTCATTAAACCTACATATATCCGATATTAAAGCTAATTCAATTTTGGACAATCTTTTATCGATTTGCCTAACTGAAACCCATCTAAAAGAAGTTACACCCAAACATTACATTTCTGGATATCATATGATTCACCTGGATACAAAACATGGCCTTGCTATGTATTTTAACAATGAGTCTACACAATATTGTTCAGTCACATCAAATGAGCTCCAGTTCATGGCAAGACTATTAGAATCAGATGACAGCAATCATACACTCATTACAGTAGCCTACAGATCTCATGACATGAATAAAAAGAAATGTATTCAAATGTTGTCTGAAGTGTTAAGAAAGATTCCAAAAACATTTACAATCGTGTTAGGAGGTGATTTTAATCTTCCTACAGAAAACAAAGACTTACAGAAAATGTGTAATTCATATGACTTGATTCCACTTATAAAATCAACCAACACAATTCCATTGAAACACATTGGACCAGATATTAACTAATGATTCAACAGCTTTGTGGTGCGTCTTCCCTGTGTCTAGCTTATACAGATCACTTTATTACATGTATATATCTATCAAAGAGCTAATTAAACAAAAATTATAGGTTTGTACCTTTCATGTCTTACAATGTTATCGTTTATTGAAATACAAGTGCAGACTTCCTACAACAAATCACAAGTAAATAACAAGTGCAGTGCTTTGGTCAAATATCTTCCAACACATTTCTAAATGCACACAAAAAATAGACATTTTGAAATTGTTCCTTAATGCCCTGTTACAGAACCAAATAAAAAAAAATATTATGTTGACAGATGAATATGTGCAACGCGGGGGACATTGGAACTCTGTTCTTTTATTATCATATACAATCGGCCATCTGAAATAAACGGATACACACACAACCACACAAACACGTTCACACAAGCAAAATAACAATCGAAAAATAACGAATGAAAACAAATTCTGACCAAGAGAAGTTTTTTTCTCCACCAAACACTTTGAAGAAATAATGATAAGACAAATACTAGTTCACAATGAAAACCAAATACTCGTGTGTTTATGTTAATAGAAACTGAAAATAATTCATGGCAGTAAGCAGAAGTAGTGTTCAAGTGAAAATCCTTGAAAACCCTCATTAAAGATACCAGGCTTATAATTGTGTACGGCAGATGTGCATTTCGTTTACAAAACACTCTTTAGTGACGCTCGCATAAAAAAGTTAGTGATTTAAAAGAATTTCAAAATTATAACACAAAAAAGATTATTTAATGATGCAGATACAAGGTACCTTTATTACATGTATAACAAATAAAAAATTTAAAAACCAATTTTGCAATAAATTTGCAACAGAACTACTTCCGCTTGATATATATCTTATTTGATGTCTTTTCTTATTGATTGCAATTGTTTGATGGTTTTATCATAACTAAAGTGTTCATTTACTGAAATTGGACCACATACATCGTTGTTTACAAATTCAGAACTGCCATAGTTTTGAATAATATTGTTTGCTTTTCCATTCTCTGCAAACTCGATTAAACTGCTTATGTCTTTTGATCCTATTCTATTCCATTTTGCTATATAAAAAACAAAATCACTAACTGCTTCGTAATTGCCAAAGTATGCAGCAAATTCTAATGCCGACATATTTACCTCCTTGTTCCGACTAAGAATACTGTTTTTACCAGATAAGCTGAAGCAGTTGCTAGGTGATTGACGAAGCGCCTTCGAAATTCGCATTATTAATGGATTTTTTCTATTGTACCACCAAAGAATACAGTAATGTAAAATAGTATTTCCATGCTCATCAACAACAGTCTTTAAAATGCCCACTAACGAACTGTGGTTACCTTTTGCCAAGAAACCTTCATCTATTTCAGAAAGAAGCTGCATTTTGTCTGATATTATGAAAACAATAATCGACCATGCCAAAGCAAAATTAGTTGGAGTATAACTAATTAATTCAAGACTTGAACAGTTCAATGTTAATCGTTTTGTCACCAAAATCATTAGTTTTACTCGGTTTTCTGTAGTCAAATTGTTCAAATGTGTGTCTAAATGTGTCATCGTTTTTTGCAAGACGGTTGAAAATCTATAACTTTCAATATATTCGCATATTAGTTCAGATGTTTGCTCACTATGCAAACAAGCCTCTGCAAAACGCTTTGCTATAATATCAAATCCATCCAGTTTGTCCTTGTCTACAATTAGAACAGTTTCCTCCTCATTTAACTTCACGTATGTTGGAGGTCTTAAAACACCAATGATTGCCTCTAAGTCGCATGTTTTTAAGATTAGTTTTAGACATTCAAAATCTATATAAGCATGTGACAATAAGACCGCCTGATAGATAACAGGACGAAGAAAATAATCACCACTTTCGTTACATTTTAAATAAAGCAAACGCATACTTTGGCAAGCGCTTTTTATTAACGATTCTTCTGAACATTTCTGTTTAAAAACATAACTGCATATTCCGTTGATTTTTTTCGTATCTATATGATTAAATTGTAATCCATTGTCGGGGTTAATGAGAATATACACCAAAGTACAATATTTGACTCTGTCTGTTATATTGTTCATACCGTTGGTGCGAAGTTCATTGATTTTGTCAATTAAACCTTGCTGTGGTAGTCTAAAAAATCTGGAACCAAGTTCAAAATAGCTGTTTGTGCTACAGAAAGCTGAACATTGAATTGGGAAGGCACCAACTGTTTGTGCAGTGATTATTTTCTTGATTTCTATTTTATTTAAGTTTCTTTTATTTAAATCTAAGTGAAACAGTAAAATCGATTCTCTGTCTTCTCTGCTGAATGAATCGTCTAAGTCAAGGTTAACAATGTTAGATTCGGTCCAAATTCCAGCTGACTTTAATTTTTCACAATCTGTGTTAGTAGCTGAATTTACAGTGACTATCGCTTTACACTTGCTTGACATTTGAATATTTTTTAAAGCATTAATAATGCTTTGAGGCCATATTTTTTCTATCGCACACGCGTCAAACCATTCTTCCAAAAGAATAACATATTTCACCAAAACATCTTTTATGGCGTTGAGGAGATGAACGTTGGTGTTATCCAGTACTATCACAGTGTAATTATTTTTTCTGTACATTGTTAATAATTGCATGGCCAAAGATGTTTTTCCTGATCCGTGTTCTCCTTTTATAATTAAAATACTATTATTTTCAAATGCAATCTTTGCTTTTTTAAAAGCCTCTGTATCCATTACACATTGTATAGTGGTTGTATCTGAAAAAATAATTCACGACCAAATTCATGACAATTGATTGTCATATATGCAAATGAAAATCTTCAAAAATGTTAATGTTTGCTAACTAGTACAGTATTAAAAAGAAGTATAATAATCTAAAATATCCTTTCCAATCTATTAGAAAAGTTAACGATTGAGTCATTGCTTGGTAGTACAGTACGATAATCTCCTTTTTTTGAATAACACTACTCTCATTTTTAATCTAAAATCATTTCGCAATCTTAATTTGTAATTAAAAAAAATGAACTGTGTTTAATCTAGTATATGGTTACCATGGTGATCGGTACTTGAAAATGCGCTAACAAAATTTATAACAACTGAATAAAAGCAATGTAAAATATATTGCCTTACCTATTAGCTGGGACAGATCAGATTTTTTCTCCTCATGTGCAAAAACTAATACCCCAAACCATACTAAAAAATCAGCAAGAAAGTAATAAATATAAGTGTCAAGTATTTTTTCTGGCTGTGCGAAAACAAAAAAAAAAAAAACAAAAAAAAAAACAAAAAAAACAAAAAGAGAAAATAAATTTCTTCTTATTATTTATTCCTTAATCTTTCGTAATCAGTAGCAACCACATTCAAGGATATTTTTTGGACATTAATCTCAAATCGCTCTCTGATATTTCACATATTCCACTTTTGAAGAACAAAAAATTGAAACTTTGGCGATGATTGCTTTTGACTTCTGTCTGCAACTGTACTGAAAACTATAATACAGTTGGTTATTCTTGTTATTAAGCAAAAAATGTTTGTAATAAAGTATTGGTAGTATTTTTGTTTATGACATCTAGCAAGTACAATTATTGAATTATTAAAAGAATATAAATAAAATACTGTATAATCCAGAATCATATTTTCATACTTTATTTGTTCTTTTTAATTTTATTGATTCGAGTGTCACTAATAAGTCTTTTGTAGGCGACACGCGCGTCTGGCGTACACTATTTTAATCCTGGTATATATGATGAGTTTATTTCCATAATTCTATTAATATCATGGATTCTAATGGAAATTCTGGACATTCTAAGTTTTAAAGGGGTACTAGCTGTCAAATTCGTATTCACCGATTTGACTCAAATTCTTATATTCGAATTATAACACACTAAAACGTATATCAAAATAAAAAAAAAATCTAAAATAAACAATTTACGATGCATAAACTCGAAATTATGTATCAGCATATCTTAGTCTAGACGCCATCTAATTAACCCTCGAGGTGACCTTCCGTAGACTGCTGACGGTTATATAACCCGTTATAAACATAAACATAGATATAAATAGATTGCGAACTCGTGCAATTGGATTTTTCTAGGTCTGTTTGATTTCATAGTATAGGTTAAAACAATATGTTAATAATCGATTTTACCTGTATGAGAATGAGTTTATGTAGATCAAATCAGTCAATCAAATGGTTTACCCTTGTTTCACTTTCAATGCTGACATTCTTTTCCTTTTACTAGCTGAACACGCCTAGTTCATGTGTAATCCATCTCTAGCTAAGAGGTTCAATTGAAGTTCTTATCAATACGGATTTAATGAGGTCGAATTATTCACTTGCAAGTGAATAATTCATTAGCAATGTTTTATTGCTTATTTTGACAAAACTGAACCAAACTGGCTGCTAAAAGCGAACTATTATTTCACTATTTCACTTTCAATAATGATTGAACAAAAAAAAATCATATTTTATTTTTTTTCTATATCTCGTAGCTAGTGCCTCTTTAATGGTAGTAATAAATATTCCGATTTTTACTTGATTTCGATTAGAGAAAATCAGAATTTTATTTTCTATTAGTAACTTTGGAATTCCAATATCTATTAAGAGTATATGGATCATACTGAATCCAAATTCAAACTGTAACATAATAAACAAATACCAAAATTGACTGTATTATTTGAGATATGATTCAACTTACCACTAAAGGTAGCAATCATAACAATGATTGCACCCAATAATACTATTCCAACAAGAAATCTATCAACTACAAAATAATTAAAAAAACCAATGGTACTATAACATATATTACAATAAATAATATTGATAAAGCGATTCATAATCACCAACTTATATAGTAATATATTTTAAAAAGAAAAATGCATAATTCTATTATACTGTATCAAGAGGCGAAAGATACCAATGAACATTCAAAACTCTCAAGTCCGCGATCCAACAAACACTGTTTAGAAAAGTAAAGACTGTAGCAATACAAACTCTACAAATTTACCGGGGATGACCTGAGGTGCTCAGCAAGGGTAAGCAGTTCCTGTTCCACATGTGGCACCCGTCGATTTGCTCATGCAAGTACAAATTCGGTGATGTCACAAACCAAGATGGAATTGTGGTTAGCACAATTGAGACAAATCCGAGATCACATGTGACAAATATATTCCATAACGGTCAACAAAATCGTGATGGTGTCCGTAATACTTTAGAAGGGATGACTACAACTTTACCACACGTAACCCTTGTTTCAATGCTTTCCTGTAAGCTGCAACCCTTTACCGACGAAATCATGATAGAAGGCACTATTACTGGAATATTTCATCAACTTGACAATGTGCACTCCACACGCAGGCGCTATTAGAATGTTGCTGCATAGAAATGGGGTGTTCACAATTGGGAAGCTGAAATCATCCCTTTTGTCGTAATGTTTTGATCTCAATCGACTCCTATTGTCAATTTCTAAATGTACGTCATGAAATAAGGCGCACTTATTACTGACAACATATTTGTTAATTTGAAGGACACATTCTCCAAAAAACAATTGGCATTCCAATAGCAACTAATTGTATTCCTGTTGTTGCTGACTTGTTCTTTTATTCATATGGACAGACTTGCATACAGAAGCTTCGTAGGAAGAATTAAAAAGCGAACATTATCATTTAAACTTCACGATTCGTTTTACAGATGATGTCCTATCACTAAATAATTCAAAGTTGTGTTAAGTAAATCATTATTTGCATTTTAATCAAGGAAAACAATGACCTTACATAGGTCATTATTTTATGCCTTGAAGCAAATTTCATTGAAACTTGGTATCGTCGAGGTTGATTCTTCAAAAGAAAGACCTGTCATTCTGAAAGAAAATAACTCATCAGGTATATAAAATACATTTATTTGTATGCAGATTTCCCCATATCGCAATAATCAATCTAGTATTTTTGGTCATTCCTCAAAAATCGTAATAATAAATGGACGCAATAATTTCTGAATTTACAATATATGGATGTAAGTAGTTGTTTAGACAGCAATACACGTTCAGGAAAAAAGTTAAAGTTAACACTTAAAATAATTAACCACCCTCTTTCCTTTGCTTTTTAACAAATTAAGCGTATATTTTTTAGTCATATATGAGCATATGTATTGAAAGAGCATCTTCAATGTTATTTGAATACTTGAAGTACATGTTCTAGTAATCATTTATGTCCCGTTTATATAAAAATAAGAAGATGTGGTATGATTGCCAATGAGACAAATCTCCACACGAGTCCAAATGACACAGAAATTAACAACTATAGGTCACTGTACGGCCTTCAAGCTTGTATAATGCGTATCTTGATATTTAAAGAAAGATACCTTAGATATTTAGGGGACTGTTTCAGGGGAGAAAAAATATTTATAAACACCTGATGCTAGTCCGGCTTATTTTTTCGTCACCGCGAACACTAATTTTTACTTTTGTACACAACTGTTTTCTGCATTTGTTTTAACCGAAAAATCATCTAGTGTTTTTTTGTTTTGTATTTAAACAGAACAAAAGAGTTTTAAGTTATTTTTATTTTTTTTCCAAGTCTTTTGCGTCGAAAACAGTTACATAATACAAAAATTGTGTTATTCATGCGGAAAGTAGGACTATCATCGCCAGAAAAGGTTCACTTTAAGCCTGTTAAATCATGATCAGAACTGTGACAATAGACAGATCTATATGCACTTTTAGATCCACTTTTGCTAGATAATTATTAGGTTTGATAAGCTTTAAAGCATGCCGCATATCCATGTAAGAACAATTTGTATCACTTGTATAAGAATTTAAAGAAATTCCAACTGGCTTACTAGCATCATGTATCAAGCGAAGATCACCATTTGGTTTAGGCACGGCCCCTAATGAACTGACAAGAGTTGAAATTTTGTTAGTTACAACATAATAACCCAAGGCAATTTCTTTTCTAATTTGATTTTCTACTTGGGTGCGAAGATTAAAAGCGGAAGAATAGATTTCCCGATTCACAGGATAATGCTGATTTTCTACTTGGGTGCGAAAATTAAAAGCGGAAGAATAGCTTTCCCGATTCACAGGATAATGCGGACCAAATTTTGTCCTCAATTTAAAACCATTTTTTACTACATCTAAAATGAATTTCCGATCTATAGTATCACTAGGTAAAAGGCGACGCTCAGTCTCAAAATCCAAAGTATTAATTGCGGAAGTCGCCTTGTTCTCTTCAACTAGTTTTGAATTTGAGGCACTTCCTGTTTTTTTTGGTTTTGTCATCGGTTGACCATGGCCATTCAATGCAACGCAGTTATGCATCATTTTGCTGTCATTACGGAAACAAGAATTATAGTTGAAACTACGACAAATTTCTCGCCCAGCCGGAAGAAACGGGCCTTTGCGACGTTCATCCGTCGTTGACCTCGAATTCCTCTCCCTGCCCTTTGATACTCCAACAGACGCTTTCGAAAACGCACGCATTGTTAGATTCTCATGTTTTGCGACTAACTGGAATTCCTGTCGATAAGTACCCTCATTCAAATAAATCATCCGTTTTTTTCTGACGATATTCCATGTCATACAATAAAACGGAATACCACACATTTCTTGCCGCTAGACGGTAAATGTCAGCTGTATAGTTATGATACCTATCTATATTTAGACGCTTTTGCTTAACTAATTCCTGCATAATTTTAATATTGGTGTATCCCCATTCTTCAATTGTTACTTTATCCAAAGTTTTCTTTTTGCCCACACGGATCTCGACTTCGACCCCTAGAGTAAAAGTTTGAAATTGTTCGACAGATTCTGGCCATATGAAAGACAAAATTTGTAGTGCGTTACGTTATGTGTTAGCATGTTGAAATTTAAATGTCTCACCTGCTACTACATTTGTCGAAAGTTGCTGTAAAGACGCATTTGGGCCGGCGGGGATCTTGCTCGCTGAGGCTTGTAAAGTCCGTAAACTTTCCTTATCCTTTTTAATTGCTGGCGTAAATGCGCTTTCTTCCTTTCAATCTGTAGCTCTTTTAACTGTTTTTCGAGTTCACATACTTCCTCTTCCGAGCTGACGGACGATGGCACAATTTATGTTGTGGGGTTGGTGGTACCCCCCTCTTCCGGCTGAAACTCGTCGAAAGAATCTTGAAATTCGTCATCAGATTAGTTCAAATCAGTCTTTTTACCTTTTCGGCGTCTAAGTCCTTCAATAATGTCGCTTAATTGTTCTCTTGGGTCGAGTCCTTGTGCCATTTTAAAGCTAGCAAAATTGTTCAGCATGCAGCCATGAGCATGTTTGAAAGCATGGTCCAGCCAAACGAGGCTTGAAAAATGGTGGTTTGCAAAATGAATGAGAGAAAGCGCGGTAAATTCAAACCTACGTGCTAAACACTATTTACGGATAAATAAAATTGCATAATACAAAAATTGTGTTATTCATGCTGGTACAAGTACATCTGCGCTAGCCAATGGTTTCGATCCAGTCACATCCTCTCTAAGAGCACAATAGGAGGGGACTATATAGTATATCGTAACACTTTAGCTAGCAAAGATGATGCATGTAGATAAGGAAATAATTACCATTACGAGTGATAGTGCTTGAAGAATATGTATCATTTTCGTGTAGTGGAATGTCGTGTAATCTTTCTTTTTGAAAAAGGATGTCTTACGATTTTTAGACAGAAAAAAATTGGTCCGCAATTTCTATGGTTTGAGAAAATTTTAAAGTTGAAAAAAAAAATTATTTAGACAAGATCTATTACATGTGCACATGCTTATCGGCAATTTGCCCAAATGCTCATTTTCCCATTTATCCTTCTGTCTAAAATTTTTTAGATCGCTGACAGGACGTCATACCCGAATTATATTATACGTTTCCTTTTTCATGTCAATCAAATAATATAACAATGAAAATCACCCGCCACCATTTATACAACAAAATAACTATCGCAACGGTTTGTACGCGTAAAAATACTTTCAATAAAAACTTTGCAAATATAAATTCATAGTTAACACCCGCACCAAAAAAATAAAAAGAAACAAAAATAACGAACAAACCCAAACAAACAACAACATAATATTGTTGAGAAAATTGTAAAAAAAGAACAATGGCATTTTTTTTCCATACTTACTTCATTATTTCGAATATCAACTCAGCCTAGCAGATTCGCTTGAGATTCTTGCTTATACAAAACAAAAACAAAAAATATGCCACTATGCTATAAATAACACAATTGTCTTGTCTGTTCTTACTAGATGAACTGCATGAAGCAAAGAACGAAGGTACGCAACAACAATATCATTTAGTACGTACAAGTGTTTATTAATTGGATTAACAGATTATATACTTGTATCACATTCAGATCAAATTTGCACGAACTGAGGACAGAAATTTATGCAGAGCTATTTGGGTGACAACATAACTTTTAATACGTTCGCTAGAGTAATGTTTTACATGTTTTACACGTAGTTCACGCACTATCGGGAGCAACATGGGGTGTTCTTTATGTTCTAAACCCGTAATCCCTATCAATTACTAATGGAATTCTCTGAATAAAAAATGGCCAATTATTTCGGTTGAAATTGAAGTCTATAGTAATATAATACACAGTACACCGTTAACTATGTTTGGCAGTAATTAAAACCCTGAAAGAACTGATGAGAGATTTTCAATACTAACAGGCTCTGAATATACAACTTCTCTAACACACGCAATAAAGTTTTGTCTAATATAATTAAAAATTGCCTCGTGTTTGAATCCTGCATTTAAAATTCAAATCGAGGCATATTCTATTTTATTGGTTAAACATATTTTTGGTTTCTTTGAACAAACAAGTTAAGGAATATCATTTACATGTATTCTGTTTGAACAACGTTGACAAATTCAAACATGCTAATAGTTGCAACCCGTTGCTCTAACGCACGCGACAACACTGTTACACGTCGTTCTAGAGAGTTACACGTTGTTTTAGTTTGCCTGAACTAACTGTCACGCGTTGCTCTGGGGTTTGCGATCCAGCACCAACGCATTGCTCTAGCGAACGTGTCAAAAATGCATTTCAACTCGAATGGCAATGGAATGTAATGTGTCAACTTACTTGGTTGCCTTATTATGTTTTTCTTGTAGCTATTTGATGTCAGTTCAACGTCTGTGTGATTCCTATGAACAGTGTCATCTTCACTTTAAATAGATATAATACATAATAATAATTAAGATTAAAAAAGTATTTAATATACAAAGAAAGGGAAAAACCTATAAACCATAAAACATTAAAATATAAGGAAACAATGAAACAAATACATTGTTAATTTTAATATGTACGTTTGGTTTAAATTTAATTTGAAGATAAATACAGAGAACGTACACATGAATAATACTACTTTTGGCCTCTAAATTTTTTGGAAAACAGTTAAATATTTGTAGCACCTTATACATTTTCCAAAAAATATGTCAGACATAAGCATTTATATTTTTGTGTTCTGTCTTACAAATTTGCATAAGGGTATCAAACTTCATGCCTTTAAATGCAATACTACAAAAAAACACCAAAATACGCTAATTTTGAGATCTTCCTTACATTTAAGTGTTAGCCAAGGAATTGTCCGAAAAGATATATTGATTTTGTTAATGAGGGTAAAAATGTGGACAAAGCCGTTACGGACGGAAATTTTATATGATTTGTTAAAACAAGACAGTGTCGAAAATCATTTTTTGTGGTTTAAATGTAAATTTGCATGACAACATTGTGACATCAAATCATTATAGTAACAAGAAAGTATTATTAGAACAAACTGAAACTGGAATAGGTATTATGATTTTTACTGTCTTTCCATCTGTTGGTTTTATTTTGTTCACCACTTAAAAAATCTTATGATGGCTTTGTATCGTTGCAATAGAATAGACTCGACGATATTAACTTTTTGTCAAGAGATTTAGTTGAAACATAATAATTTAATCTAAACCTTTTTCAAGATTAGGTTGAAAAACTTGAGAAACAACTATGTTTTTTAAAACATCCAATGTATATAAAAATTAAATTAAGTTATCTCTGCCATATATAATGTGAAATATCAGTCGCTCAACATTTATCTGTTCAGTCTTCTAAGCTACTAATACTCGCAACTACTTTCTACTACAAAGAATTTCGCATAGTGACTAGTGCTTTTTATATTTACATTATATATCTAAGAATTGAATGCTTCGTTTTGTAATTCTATTGGGGTATGAAAGCGTTGACCGAATCACATTTTGTATGGCGTGCGCACTTTAGCTAAAACTGCGGCATTCAATTCTTATAATTACATATTTATGGTTCAACCATGAAATTACATGTTATATCAAAGTTCTCGTTTGTTTTCCTATGCATTGATGTGACATTCAAGGGAAACATGTGTCATGCATGTTGAATTTACATTGTGTAATCAAATTTTATTTTGTTGTCATCCAAGCAAAAGTATGGATTCTTGTGAATACATGTGCAGCAATACTGAGATATACTGAGATATACGAGATATATAGAAATTAATGGAAACTTTTGTAGATGATGATTTTTGACCTGAATTTAGTGTATATATATCAATGTGGCATATTTTGCAAGATAAGCAACTCAGGATATTTGGAACCTCTAATGTGTTTTTGCTTATTGAATACTAACAAGGAGGTGTGGTAAATTGACAATTGAAAAGTATCCACCAGTGACCAAAAGACCATTGGACCTGTGTAATTTTTAATTTAAATGAGTAGCAATTGATTTACTGTAAGACTTTATTACTCTCTGAGCAGAAAGTTGATGAACCAGGGGTATGTCAAAGAACGTCTCGTCGTTTTTCTAAAAAGTTCACCGGAAGATACCAAGACCTTGTTGATAAATATTCCGTATCAACTTCACAAATATTACACGATGTTCTTGAAGTATAGATTCTAGGTACTGACGTTGTTTATCGTCTTAATAACGTGTTATAGTATTCTTTTATTTGTCTTTGTAAATTATCAATTTTAGTGTTTAGTCTATTTTTGGTAATATCCATTTGACGTGGCTCGGTTCTTATACATCCCGTCATTGTGTTAATTGCGTTTTTTGCTAATGTGCTTTGTCTATGTGCCTTTTTGTTTTTCTTTGTTGGCATATTAATTATATTTGTTTGTTTTTGTGTTGATTAAGATCATTATAACACAATGTTGACTGCTGTACCCCTATTTTTGACATTTTTACCTATTATGTCTGTTTGTTTTGTTCACACATCGTTGTCAATATAATGGAATTTTATGCGACTGTCATACATTGTGCGCCACTGGATTTATTCTAAATAGTTAGGTGCAAGGTTTAGCTAGCTATAAAACCTGGTTTAATCCACCATTTTCTACATAAGAAAATGCCTGTACCAAGTCAGGAATATGACAGTTGTTATTCATTCGTTTGATGTGTTTAAGCTTTTCGATTTTGCCATTTGCTTATGGATTTTCCGTTTAGAATTTTCCTCGGAGTTCAGTATTTTTGTTATTTTCCTTTTTACTGCACATAACTACAATAACAATTATTGTCAATGCCAAGAGAATCAGGACGTAATTCCTGTGATAATTGATATTGCTTAATGTGCAGTAACAGTAATAACATGTTAACAGTGATATTGCATATTTTAGTAAAATTATTTCAATCATAAAATAAGGCCTCAACAAGTTTCGTTATGTTTCTACTCTATTGTGGATATTTTCAGATTTGATTCTTGTAGTTTTTGCTATTAATGCAAAAGTAAGAGACAGCAATTGACAAAAATAGTAATAATAAGCACAAATGATGGAAAGGGAGGTGATAGCTTGACCAAAATACTTGTTAATACATTGGATGTTCTTACTTTGGTTAAAGATCATGTCTTGGAAACTGATTATCAATAGCTATCATGATTGTATGGAATCACCCAATATCACCAGATTTGATTAAAATTGAAAATAATTTTCGATAATTTATAAATTATTGCAACGTAGACCAAAAATTGCACTAGGTTAAATGTAAATTTTATTTTGGAAAAGTATATATAATTTGGCGATAATTTGAATTTTTATGAAATTTTGTATGTTTTTATAATTCGTTGAACTGCGTTTCGATATCGAAAAATGATGTATCCAGCTAATATACTTCTAGAGAAACAATTAATTTAAAAAACGTGAAAAAAAGTATTTAAATGTATAGAATTATGCTTTGGGTATTAATGTATAGAATTATGCTTTGGGTATAAATGTATAGAATTATGCTTTGAGTATAAATGTAACAAGTAAAACATTATTGAAAGAAAAGACAATTTTTATAAAGCATTTATATATTTTATCAAATCATATTTATGATACAGTCTGATTATTTTGGACAAATATTAGTCAAAGGTATTTCAAAATATTATTTACTTCATTCTAGTAATTAGTGTACAGGTAAAAACTGTTCACTACATTGTATGTATTTCACTACTGATATATAACTGATCGACAGGTGTAGTTGTGTCTCAGTTTTTTTAACAAGGATATTTGAAGATTTAAGGGGCATAAGCTGTAAAATTCATGTTCACCGATTTGACTCAAACTCTCATATTTGATTTATAACATACTAAAACGTATATCCAAATTATAAAAAGTCTAAAACTAACAATTTTTAATGCATGGGATCGATAATATGTGTCAGTATTTCGTGAGTATTTTAGTCTTGACGCCATTTAATTAACCATCGAGTTGACGTTCCGAAGACTGCCGACGGTCATTTAACCCGACATGAACATAAATATAGATATAATTAGATAGCGAACTCGTGCCATTTGATTTTTCGATGTCTGTTTGATGTCATATTATAGGTTAAAAATATATATGTTAATCATCGTTTTAACCTGTATAAGAATGAATTATTGTGGATCGAATCAGTCAATCAAATGGTTAACCCTTGTTTCACTTTCAATAATGACATTCTTTTCCTTTTGATAACTGAACACGTCTACTTCATGCGTAACCCATCTCTAGCTTAGGGGTTAAATTGAAGGTCCCATGAATACGGATTCCATGAGGTCGAATTATTCACTTGCGAGTGAATAATTCATCAGCAATGTTTCTTAGCTCATTTCAACAAAATTGCACAAAACTGGTTTTTAAAAGCGAATTATTATTTCACTATTTAACTTTCATTAATAATTGAAACAAAAAAAAAATCACATATTTTGATTAATTTTTTTTATATCTCGTAGCTTATGCCACTTTAAGGTTGGTGTATTTTGGAAATATATAATATAATTTTGAATATGACTGTTTTATATAAAAGTGTTTTATAAAATATGAAAGAACAAACAATATGATATGTACATGTAAATAACATTCTATATTTGTATCTGAGGTTTTGCAAATTCAAACATGATTTTGAAAATTTGGTACCATTATTTGTCTAGTTTTATTGTCCCAGTTGATATGCAATTTTGAGAAAAATTTGTACTATGAAAGGTGTTTTTTTATCTTTAAATTATAAAAGTTTCTGATTAAAGTCATATGAAAGGAGTTTCTTGAAATTCTAATGTCATCGAAATTATTGAACCAATGCATGTATGTATACTTAACTAAGTCTTTCATGCACGTTTTTCATATATTTATTACACATCTATAACGTATTATCGACAAATAATATTTCATTCAGTGGTTGTTGATATCAAGCTAATTACCTTTCGAGCTTGTTGCCGAAGTTTACCGGATCGTGACATTGATAAACAATAAACATAGAGCACGTGGGAAGCGTGACAGATAAGGGATTTGAAAGAGTCATGACATTTGTTTTTATATTTTTCCATGCGTTCCAATTTGATAATTTAACTATTCCTTAACAGTTGTTAAATGATTTGTTGTATTAAATGTGTTCTTTAATAATCTGTCATTTCTATTTACCTTCAAGAGCACATGTGTTTACATTCTTTCATTACGGTTTCCCCCTCGCACTTGCGCTGTGCGGTGGCCGAAGTTATAACGAGAGGTCTCGTAGTTGAGGTGACTGCATACGGGAAAATATCAGCGAGTTAGTGTCTAGGAAGTCAATAATTCAATGTCGGTACATTTATGCAGATTTTGATAATATAAAGGATTTTCTTTTTTTTGTAAATCGCGTTCACTTCTTTTAGAGTAAAACTTAGCCATTCAAGTATATAAAACATGGTCAACTTTCATATGACTTTAAGTCAGTATTGTTCGCAGGTAGATCTATGAGTTTTTCCTTCTTTAGGGAATGTATCTTGAATTGTAATTGTGTGCCCTTGATAGATGTTATGATTATGTTTAGTTAATTTTTTATATTTCTAAATAAAACATTATTGATTATTCATGAACAAATGTTGATTACTTTGAAGACTTTCTCTTATTTCATACTTTGTTTGAGAAAAGTTAAGAATTGCAATATTCAGAAACAGAGATAATCATGTTCTTGTAGCTTTTATATATCTATGTATGACTAAATGTTTCTGATGCATTTAAATGAAATTGGGATACAAAATCTTTATTCAAAGTTAATGTTCATCGAGTTTATGATCTGCATTTCAATAGACTTATGATGTTTTGTGTTTTTCTATTTTGCCACAAACATTGAACTATTCAGCGTTGCCAATTAATCTGATTGATATATATATCACATCGAAAGCTGAATTTTTAGTTCAGTTTAGGTGGCCGAGTGGTCTAGAGCGCTGGACACAGCGCAGGCGGTGTAACCTTGATAACTCAATCAAATGAGTTCGAAATCCGGCGAGGGAAGAACAAAAATTTGCTTCCGCAAATTTGCAGATTTAACATTGGTGTGCTAATATTTAGAGTTATAATGAATATAATATGTGTTTTCAGCCGTGTATCACCTTCACTGGTGATCCAATGGATGGATCTGTCCTAGAACTGTCACTTGTTTAGACGTACTTATCAATATAATTATTTCTGTGACTGCATCTTACGATCCTTTAGTACAGATAACTTAGCTAATCTGAATCAATTCCATCTTCATGACTAATACATAATGTACTGTGTTACAACTCTAGATTCTACTGACGAGGAAAGGTAACACTAGGCCACCGAAAGCTGAATTTTTAGTTCAGTCTAGGTGGCCGAGTGGTCTAGAGCGCTGGACAGAGCGCAGGCGGTGTTATCTCGATATCCCAATAGCATGAGCTCGAATCCCGGCGAGGGAAGAACAAAAATTTGCTACCGCAAATTTGCAGATTTAACATTGTTGTGCTGATATTTAGAGTAGTTATGTATATATATCAACTTTATATTTGTGCTTTCGTAAGCCAGTTTATCGTTTTTGGAGTTTACATAAATATCTATGTTTGAACAAAATGAAAAATATTATGGGGTCACTGGATACTTTTCCATAACGTACATGTTTATAAAAAGGAGGAAATGTGGTAAGATTGCCAGTGAGACAACTATCCACCAGAGTTAAAATGAAGTGGTACTGAGAAGTTATAAAAAGAAAAATAATTCCTGTGGACAGGTATATTTATATGTTTCGTATCATTTGTCAAGCAGATAAACTATCCGTCTTTCGTGTTGCACAATTTAAGTTTAATTAAACAGGTACAATTTATGTGGTTGACGTCGTGTAAACAAAAACTATGAATAAATCAGGTTTGATTGTATGTTGGCGTTTGTTTTTTGTAGCTGTTCAGTGTTTCTGTTGTTCCGTTTTTTTCCTCTTATAGTTGATGTGTTTCCCTCAGTTTTGGTTTGTAACCCGGATTTGTTTCAGTTAAATCGATTTATGACTATTGAACAGTGGTATACTTATATTGCCTTCATTGAGCCTAGTATAAGACAGGCCAATTGACAAGTGTAAATGTAACATAAAACGTCAGCCAAACTATACTATGCAAAATTAACTAGTAAAATCCTCAGCAAAATTTCAGTTATTTTATAAAGTGTTTCACAATTTTGAGGATTTTACTAAATTACTTATATTGCTAATGATCTTAATCATTGCATTACATTTACTATTGATTCATTTCTTTTCGTGGATACCAATTTTCTTGGTTCAAGCAAAACTTGTATTTTCGTGGATATCTGATTTCGTTTTGCCAAAGTGTTCATACATTAATTTGTACTAAGTTGAACATTTAAATTCATTGTAAACCTATACCCACGTTATCCTAGAAAATTGGTATCCAACGAATAATAATAAATCCACAATATAAGATTTCGATACAATGTAACTATACCTTGATCTAATTAGTCGTGGACATTGATATTGTCTAATCACGTCGGATTTGATAACTTCGCAATTATAGTCTAAAACAAAATAATTCTTTTGTCATCATAATTAATACATCTGTAAACTGGTTAAAAAAAGAGCAGTTTGTATATTAAATATCACGATAAACATGTGTTGAATATCACTAAAATAATCATCTTGCAATCTCAATGGTTTGATTTAAATTCCTGGTATCTATAATGAGTTTACTTGATTTGTCGTTGATTATGTTACTGAAAGAAGAAAATGTGATGACAAACTATTTCCAATGAGTGTAACTGACAACGGCATCAGATTTTGTTAACTGATATTACACAGTTATGGAGCGTTGGGATCCAAGATTTTTGAAAGAGGAGCGTAATACCCGATAGGTGAAGATATAAAAAAAATGACGATTTCATATTAAAAATGTGTATACATAATTATATATCGTAAAAAGCATGATTAAAAAGAATCGACGATTAAAAAGGGAGCGTATATCCTCTACATCGCCTGAATCCGCCACTGGATGTATTCCAAATAGTTAGGTACAAGGTTTAGCTAGATATAAAACAAGGTATCATCAACCATTTGTACATAAGGAAATGCCTGTACGAAGTCAAGAATATGACAGTTGTTTTCCATTTGTTTAATATGTTTGTTTTTTTGATTTTGCCATTTGATTTTCCGGAGTGTCCGAGGTGCTTTTTTGGATTAACCCTCACCAGAAGCCCACAAACCCATGTGTCAAGGATGAATAAAAACCTGAATATGTGAAGAGCTATATGACCACAATGGGCCTTAAAATAGAATAGCAAAATTAGTCAAAGGTCAACCTTGCCATAGTGGCTTTAAACTTAATTGTTTTATTATTTCCTGAAATTTAAAAAGGGTATGTTATATATCATGTCAAAATCGAAATACTGACTACTTAGCTGGTGATACCCTCGGGGACTAACAGCCAAGGAGTTGTTACATGGGTGTTTAAAGTGCAGAGTGCGTGGGATTTTCCTCGTGAGACATCTGCATTAACGTCCCCATTCCGATCAGACGTGGCTGCGAGTTGCATTTACATCCTTCAGAATATAACGAACGCCCCACTGTATACATGTTTGACTAGCTCATAAGTATAAACGTCTTTTGATATATCTTAAATTTTCCATGGTCCATGTGATGTCAAACTTTGATAAACATGCAAGATAGATTCGATATGCTCAAGTTTTTTTTTTTTATTTCTTTTTTTTTTTTATTTTGTTATTTGTGTTTATGATGTTAAATTATTTTGTGCTTTTTCTATTTAATACTTTCAATTGATTTGCCTTTTTCCACATATAGTATCTGAATGTCATAAACTTTTTAATTATTTCGCTTTCTCAACATTAGAGAAAATACAGTTTTACAATAACTGCACAACTAACAACTAATGCGTATTTGTTTTGTCGAAATACGTTACTTTGTAGATGTAGTTTACCTTTCAAAACCGCTTAAGTACCTCTAAATACATGTTTTTGTGTATTTACAATGACTGAAATTCAATCTGGAATCAGTATAATAAAAATACTCAATAAATTTAGTAACATTTACCAGACATGAATATATTTAAAATATTTAAAATGTTGTGTACCTGGTGATAAAGCATGATCTTCATTACAGAATTTGATGTAGCATGAGCAATCTTCTTCATTTGGTTTGCAGTTACAAGGATCATTCGGACGTATTAAATAAGAATATCCCTTCCTGTAATCACATCTACAAGTAATATCTGCTGTTGTTGTTCCACTTCTACTTAATAAATGTTGACCCTCTGCGGTACAATTAGAGTTTTGGTAAATGCATCTGTTTTCGTCATTTGTCCAATATGCAAATGGCTGGTATCTGCTGACTGGACATCGTTTTGCATTTAAAGCTTTTTGAAAAACCACATAACTTCCTATAACAAATTATGTACATTTAGATTTCAATATATGCTTCTTATAATTAAGATACTCTTGATACAAATCAGATACAAGTAGAACTCTGAAAAAGTATGATTGTAATCATCGAGTATTTGCTTGGAGCATTAGCTATTAGCGCCAGCATGTGATTGGCAAGATTGCGCACTTCATTACACGTAATATAAATAAACAGTCGATCGTCTTTGGGCTTTTCAGAAAAATTCTGAACAGCTATTTGCCGAGCATGGGATCCTGGCCCAATTCTCTGATTTCGCATCACTGTCGAGCAGTTAGAAGGTTAGACCAGACATGCATTCATGGATATTCAACTATTTTATATTTATTTAAAAATAATGACATAATCAGAAGTCTTTAACCCTTTTTTATATTGTTAGACATGTAATTAGATAAGATTTGATCAGATGTTCTTCTTTCATTAAAGTAAATGACATTTACCGTTTTCAAACAACTATTATTACAACTATTTTGACTCAAATATAATGAAAGAAACAATTGAAATATTATACAATAGGACTAATATATATATATTGTGGACACAAAAAAAATTAATAAAAATCCAAATGATAAAAAGGAAAACTGAAATGACAAATATAAACACACAAGAGACAGATTATTCGGTCTATCGGCCACCGAGCCCTCCACTGCATTAATAGCTTCTGAATGAGGGAGAAGACATGCATATAAAGAATAATGCACGGTTGAAAAATTTTTTTGAGCGCGTAACCTTTCTATGACCTCTGACAGTTGTGTAACAGCTATACAAGCTGTAAAAGTTAGTTGAAAAAAGGCTTTACTCAACTGATCGACATGAAGCACAAAAGAAAAAGACACAAAACACCGATCTAAGAGACTAGCAGCTCAATACAACTAACAAAACAGAGTTTAATATCTTTTAGATCCGAAAAGAATGACCTTGTGCAATGCCAAAATTTTGTATAGATATGATATAGGCCAATAAGACTTAGTGTTCATTACTATATGGCAATACCTATTAAATATAAGCTATGTTTAAATTATTGAAAACAAAATCAATGTTAGTAAGCTTAAGTCTTGCTTCTTATATAACATAGAATCGACCATCTATTGACTGGAACTACTCGAAATGTCTTACCAAAGATATTTTCTATTACACCATAATGAAACAAAATGTACTTTTTCATACAGCTTAAGTGGCCTACGTTTTGTCAAAATATTCTTGTTTTTATTTTTTTCTTCGTTGAAAACTTTGGTTTTTGAAATTTTACAATATATTTATAAATTTGTTCAAGACATAATAAAACTTCGAAACAACATAATTTACATTTTATATATAATTGCATATGTCATTAAAACTGTTTTTTTAAAACCGTAAATGTTACAAATTCTAGGTATAACATACATTATTTCAATATGAATACACATAATCATAATAAGATAGAGAGAAAAAATAAACAAAGGATAATGCGAACAACCCTACTAACTATTAATGTAACGAATCACAAACAATCATTTCTCATTTCAATTCACGAAATAATTATTTTCCCATGTTACACTTTACATTTAGAAAGAACAATTGTGATAATTTATACGCAGATGTCCTATCCAAAAATAAGGTTCATCAATTTTGTAATTTTAAATGATTGGTCATTTCGTCCTCTACTTCATCAGTACATATTTTGAATATTTTACAATATCTGTTAACGTATTATTGCTCGATGGCAAGACTGCGAGAAGATATGCATGGACATTCATCTCAATGATTTATGTAATCTATGTTGACCTAACGATCTATTTTGTGGTTTTATTGAGTTGTTAATCTGATGTCATATAGACGTCTACTAACTGTTTTGAATTTTATAAATTATAATATATTGCTATGGTATATCTATATAAAAAGAGAATTGAAGGAAATAATGTTATGACCTTTAAACCTTGTGACTAATAAATAATAGGCGAAATAACTGTTTATGGTACAAAATGAGCTTTGTTAAACATTTTCTTTTCAGTTATTAATTTTTGGTTGTTTAGGGACCTATACTTTGATCTATTGTGAATTGGCTTGTGTTCAATACACACACATGATACCGAATATATACTGTTTCTTTATGGGCATGTCCAAAATTTATTTTTCTTCATTGCCATCCGAAACTCTAAATGTACAAAAACGAAAGTAATAAAGGTTTTAGAGCAAACTACTTTAATAACATTTAAAAGGGAAGTTAAATTATGCAGAAGAATACCGTTAAAGCTTCATAAGAAGTTTGTTGGCACATCGATTCATATAGGTGACGATATTGACATATTGTGAAGATATCAGCTGAATTCAATTCAATATATTATTTTAGTCTCATTTCTCAATAATATATAATACAACATTATATTTGGGTCGTTTAATTAATGCCTTGTTGATATTTATCCTACGTCTTCTTTATCCACATGCATGGCGGATTTTATGTCTATAGGTTCCACTTAACTATTTGAAAAGTTACATTTTTATATTTACTTGATATGAGCAACTGAGATCAGTATCACATGTAGAGCAGATAGTGTCGATCTTTCTGGAGTACCAAAGATCATGGGGTCAAAGAGATATATTACAATTTGCTAAGCACATATGAGTAGCGGCATAATCATACTTAATAAACTCATCATAGATACCAGGATTGAAATTTTGTATTTGCGCCAGACGCGCTTTTCATCTAAAAAAGATTCATCAGTGACGCTCGAATCAAAAAAGTTAAAAAGGCCAAATAAAGTACTGATTTGTGCTTGAACTTCACATCTTTTTCATTGAAAAAAGTCTGAACTATTTCTCGACCAGTCTTATACAGTCTTAACCCATTCTCGACCATACTAGACAAAAAGTTTGAACTATACTCGACCAGTCTGAACCATACTTGACCAATAACCTCTACTTTTTTTAATTTTAACTGTTTACAAAACTATCTTTTAAACTGATATGACAACAGCCACAATAAAGTAAAGATATATTTACAGATTTTTATATCCTAACATGATTATTAGATTTATTAATTTGAGGTAGTTAAATTATCTAATTTTTAAGTCTGAGTCTTGGTAAAAAAAATAGACTGAATACAGATAAAAAATTAAGAAATAATTAAAATTGTTCTTCTGATCACGGGTAAAATATACCTCCTGCTTGGGGCACACTCATATAAATGATCACACCTGGTCAGAGAGTAATACATTTTAATGAAAATTAAACAACATGAATGACCTTTGAATCCACTAGATAAATAATTTACGAGATATATTCTTAGCATTATTCAAATTTGATAAACCTTCATTTATCAAGGCTTTTGAACAATTTCCTTAACTATAACATGAATAAATGTAATAAAAAGTAATTATTTCCAGATCTTTCTCTTATATATATTCAAACAATTATAAACATTTTTTTGTGAATTTCTGTCCTGCCACTTTTTGTCCTATCAAATTTGTGACTAGTGACTTTTTGTACGGTGACTTTCTGTCCGTTCACTAAATTTTTACCAGACTTAAGTAAGTGTTAAACATTTACAAAATATATCTGAAACATTCAAAAAGTTTTTGATAGATACAAGAAGATGTGGTATGAGTGCCAATTAGACAACTCTACATCCAAGTCACAATTTGTAAAATTTAACCATTATAGGTCAAAGTACGGCCTTCAACACGGAGCCTTGGCTCACACCGAACAGCAAGCTATAAAGGGCCCCAAAAAATGACTAGTGTAAAACCATTCAAACAGGAAAACCAAAGGTCTAATGTATATAAAAAACGAGAAACACTTATGAACCATATCCACAAACGACAACCACTGAACAACAGGTTCCTGACTTAGGACAGGTGCAAACAAATGCAGCGGGTTTAAACGTTTTAATAGGCGCCAACCTTCACCCTAACCTGACATAACATCACACATAGATAGACACACTATAACATATCAATTGAAATTGCTTAACTCAAACAAAAGACATATAAACAAAAACAAGTGAACATACACTGAAAGAATAAATTTGATCTATAACACAATGTAAATACAAAATTAATTAAAAAAAGGGGGTGAGATGTAAAACAATATCAGAAAGACAATCATAACCTTGGACAAAATGCCGCTTAATAAGATAACGTACACAGGTAAATAAAAATAATTTTGTTGTAAGGTATACATGGAGTACGTAAATATTTTTAAAAAAATGAATAATTTTGTTGTTCATAGTACGAGAACAGAATGTTCACATTTAACATATTTGCATTATGGTCGAAAGTTCTAGTATTTTTTATGTACATAATGCAATGTAAACATGATCATGTATATAAGAATTCATCTAAACGAAAATTTAATTTTATTATATACCTGATATTTTTTTAATCGGACGAGTAATCATTTCCTTTGATCATTTTGTTTTTGTTTTTATTTTGGAGGTGACATATATATTCAATCTTCATGCCTAATATATAATGTACTGTGTTACAACTCTAGATTCTGCTGACGAGGAAAGGTAACACTAGGCCATCGAAAGCTGAATTTTTAGTTCGGTCTAGGTGGCCCCGTGGTATAGAGCGCTGGACACAGTGCAGGCGGTGTTGGTCACGATATCCAAATAGAGTGAGTTCCAATCCCGGCGAGGGAAGAACATAATTTTGCTTCCGCAAATTCACAGATTTATTATAACATTGCTGTGCTGGTATTTAGATCTCGAGTAATTATGTATTTATGATGATTATGGTGTTGATGATTATATAATGTTTATTGTGAAATTTTGGTTCCGATATATTAAATACATTTTGGATTTCAAATTGTTGTTAAAATCTATAGCCAAGGGAAATCACTAAACAATAGTTCCTAAATTGATAAAATACAATAGATAGATACAGAAATAGGTCTAGGTTGGATGAACCTTGGCCGAGAATGGTTTAGACTAGGTCGAGTATGGTTCAGACTAGCTCGAGCATGTTGAGTATGGTTCAGACTAGCTCGAGCATGTTGAGTATGGTTCAGACTACAGTTGAGTAATATCAAGTAAATTTCAGACCAATTCAGACTGGTTGAGTAAAATCAGTACAGTCGAGTACAGATATAGGCCACTTCAGACTTTTATTGGTTTGTAGTGATTAATAAAAAAAACAACATTGATATTTACCTGGTGTGTAATACTCTGGAGATACACAAATTTCAATAAATGCATCATTCAGGCCATCCCAGAGACAATGATACGATCTAGGATCATTGGGACACTTCTGTGTGGCGTATGACGTGTTCATCGCAGGCGGAGGACAGTTACAGCTAACACAGTGAACCACAGTCTGTCGAAATAAAATACAGTATTTGTGAATCGCAAACCGTTGTTTAAGGTGTCAGACCACCAATTCTCCCACTCCAATTTAGAACATAAAACGTAAAAGTAACCTTTCCTGACAAAACAAAATGATTTTGGTATCATTGTTTACTTAAACTAACCAACACATTTGCAGAAATGAAACTTTCGTGATGAGAAATATCTTTAGACCATTTTGAGCCATGACTTTGCATTAAAAATTGAGAATAAATGCGCTCAATAGTAATACTTATTTTAGATTTCCTGAAAAACAAGAGTTACTTTTAGTGGTTACCATAGTTCACGTCCGAACGGTGTTGTTTCATTACAAGACTCTAAACATTGGTTGAAAATTGGCATGTAGAAAGGTGATACATGTACAATTCAGGATATACCTGGTTTCTATGCAGTTAAACTTAAGATAAATATTTAGAAAGCTGTGAAAATAGAAAAAGAAATTGTTGAATAGATAGGGATTTTGAATTGGTGGTTTGACACAATATTAACAGGTGAAATGAAGAATGAAGTAAAAAAAGTTAGCTACTTTTACGCTATGCAATATCTCAAAATCTGAAAATAATGAATTGGACAAAACTGCTGAATTAGGCAAAACACCATTTACATGTTTATTATGTTGCTATGCAATTAGTCACTGTGACAAGTTTAAGACGGCATGTGCATTTAAACAAGTAAGTTGGGAAACTTATTCTATTGGTCAAGGTTTAGATATATGCAACTTAATTTCAAATGGCAATTAAGAATAAAAGATCATCATTAAATATATCATGCAAAAGCTTAAGTCCATTATCTAAGTTTGATTTCATATAAAATTTGTTATAGCTGATAGTCTAATTGTTATTGTAAAAGATTTTAAAACAAAATTTATTATTAGATTTTAAGTCATTTGGTGTATCTAATTGATGATAGATATACAAATGTAGCCTCAAAATAAAACAGAAGAAATGCCAAAATAAACAAATTTACAAAACACAACATATCAACAATAAAAAATAAGAACTTTGCAGGAGTAAACAATTTTGTTTTACATTTCACACAGTTTTAAAAGTTTATAAAAACCGATGACCGAATTTTGTTATCATTCTAGTCACTGTTTGGAATTGTGTTAGTTCTTTATTGTTTTCAGGGCAAATTGTTTACTGTTTTGATATTGCAGAAATGCTACCCAATATCTTAAAATAAAACTTGCATTACATACATGTACTATTATCTGGGACATAACATAAATTATTTACTATTCCCTGCTATATTTACGTAAAGGATTGTTTCATCTAAGTGATAATCAATACACATATGTATAGTCAGTCTTAATGAGTACAACATTGATAACACAATTATCTGTATGTCACATATTGTAATATAAAATAATGTCTTGTATTTTCAAATTCCCTCCATTTTTAAATCCTGAGTCAACATATTGACTCGTGCATTCCAATGCCCTGTGGGCTGTACATGGGTAAAGTAAGAGTTAAAGACTTTATTTGTTGGAAAAGCTGTATACACGTGTACAGATCATCAACATACTGGTAAAATCAGAAAAAAAGACTGTCTCACCAGAAGAATGACTTTCCACTTCATCGAATGCGTATTCATATGTTTCTGAAAAGGAATAGTAAAGGTATACTAAACTAACAATTCGGAGGACAATTCGTATACTTATTTCCTTACAATAACATCTGCATAAAAATTGGTGTAAGAGTATACCAAGTTGAAATTCTACAGTATTAGAAGACAATATATATTTTTTTAAATCTTTTTAGTAAGATACTTTTTTATGTTTTATCTTGTGATCATGATTTCTGATTGGTTTTTGCGTTGTGTTGTTTTATTTTTAATGTACATGTATCAGTGGTTAATGCATAAGAAGACATCAAGCATTTTAAAAAGACTTAACGTGATAATGCTTAAAGGATTTACTTCACTGGAAGTTGCCTTTACCTGACCAAACTTCAAAACCTAATGTACATGTGCCTAAATCTCAAAATGCAGGTACATTAAGGTAATGAATAACTTAACCCTAGCAGTTGGACGCGAAGCAACCAATCAAGCATTAAATCAGAAACTCTTTAAATCGCCATTTATAGTAAATAGCTATAGGATAAAGAACGATTTTCGTGCTTTATTTTGTTTGCTTGTATCAATTACTTATTGATATTAATATGAATAAAGAGGAAACTTACAGTGTACATCAATGTATGTGTGTCATACACTCCGGCATATGATTGTCACCTAACTATGTCACAGGAGGATAACAATTTTTTTAAAGAAACGAGTTTTTAACCAATCCAAATATCTAAATACATCCCCAAGATATAATTTTATCTTTCTTGTAACAGTATTTGTATCCGTATCTCTTTCTTGTAACAGTATTTGTATCAGGTGAATCATAATTAGCTATATAGATATCTTTATCTGTTCTTTATTGATAAATACATTATATATATATTTCAACTTCCTACGTATTGGAGATGATAAAGTTTATCAATCAATATGAATATCATTTTATTTTAGAAATAAGAACATAATATTTGGTATCTTGTGGAGAGTTGTCTCATTGGCAATCATACCACATCTTCTTCTATTTCTATATGTTGGCAAATAAGTATTTTGTTGATACACAAATGGTTCACTAATTCACTCTTTCATGTAAATATGCAATTAACATCATGATGTCATTTCAGATGGTGTTTCGGTTTAGGTAAAAATATGATCAACAAGACTATGTCATCAAAGAAGAGATTTAAGTCATGAATTATATTAAGTCCACAAAATTGGAGAGTATCCATTGTTGAAGATGCATATAGACCTAGGTGAGCGACACAGGCTCTTAAGGGCCTCTACTGCAATATGATGTTTTGTTGGTTTTTTGTCAACCTTCAGTGACTTGTGACATCAGTTTTTTTAGTCCTACTTAACCTTTCGTTATCCGATGGAGAAAGTCAGTCTCAGATTTATCACATAATAAGACGTCTATAAAAGAAAAAATAATTAGTTGTATCAGCAAGGTATCGCATCTACATGCTAACTAACAAGAAAGGTATGATCACTCGACTAAGGAAAACTTTATTTTTATAGCCTAGTTATCCGAGTGGTCTAGGCGGTTGGACTAGGTGCAGTCGGAATTGCCAGGATGTCACAGATGCATGGGTTCAAATGCCATTAAGGAAAGAACAAACATTTGCGAAGGCAAATTTGCAGATCAAACATTGTTGGGCTACATTTCAACCGACTTATAAGTATGTCGTGGAGTCAACCATGTATAACTATTGTATATCCGATCGAGAGTCAGTCGTAGAGTTGTAACATATTTAGACGTATATACATGTACCGTCCATTACAACTGACGAAAATAACTGATCTGCAAGATTTTCAAACCATACCACCCTACATCTTGTGCTGTATTATAAACCTTAGTAAAGCTGAGGAGGAAAGTCATCACTCGACTAACTTAATCTATATTTATTTTATAGCCTAGTTGGCTGAGTGGCCTAAGTGGTTGGACACAGTGCAGGCGGAGTTGGCAGGATGTAAAAGATGCATGGGTTCAAATCCCGTTGAGGGAAAAACACAATTAGGCTATCGTAAATTTGAAGATCTGACATTATTGGGTTAAATTTGAGACAAAATATATATGTAATTTGTACTATTAGCCCTGTTTAACCCTTCGTTATCCGATGGAGAAAAGCAGTCATAGAGTTGTCACATATTTAGACGTATATAATAGAAACAATTTGGTGTGACTGTATGGTGAGTAAATATATTTATCATCCTTAACGACTAACAAAATCAGCTGATTTGTAAGGTATTCCATCTACATGCCACCAAACATATTGTACTGTGTTATAAACCTAGGTAAAGCTGACGAGGAAAGGCATCACTCGACTAACAAAAGCTATCTTTTTATAGCCAAGTTGGCCCGGTGGTTTAGGTGGTTGGACACATGGCAGTCGGAGTTGTTATGATGTCCCAGACGCATGTGTTCAAAAGAACTAAACTGACAAATTGTAAAGCTAAATTTGACACAATATATACATTGGCACCAAATGAAATCTAATTGCGCAGTGTTATACATGTACATCTGGGTTGTATATTAAACTACACCGTCTCTGTTAATTCCTTTTTATATGTTTTTATATATAAATTATAAATTACAAGTTATAAATGTTGAAATGTTTGCATTATAAACCTTTAAAAACAATAGAAATCACACTGTCAGTCGATCTGTCTATTAATCTTGTTAAAACAACCCCTTTAAAGAAAAACTTCTCATATATTTTAATATTAACAGATCTAGTGTTCAATATTTTCAACGGGAGATATTTGGACTTATTTTTTTAATATAGAAAATATTACAAATTAACGATTAAATTAGCATTATGTTCTAGTACAATGAATTTTGAACAGGTAGTGGACTTTTTTGTTTTGTTTTTTGCCATGCAATATTCCCAGAATGCTTGTTTATTAAAACAGCTTCAATTAATATGTTTTATAGATAAAATACTCCTTTAAAAACTACACAAGTTGACGACCGGACTTCGGATTTCCTCCGTTTTTTTAAAGCTGTTTACTAAGTTACTTTTAATTTCATTTTCATAAAAAGACAAATGTTGAATAGCTCATAAACTCATAGAAATTTTAATTTGAATATTTTTATTAGTTTAGGTTTAACATTTCTTTGTTACATACAAAACAAAATTTAATTTGACATGCTGTAGTCCACATGCAAAAATAATGAGTGGGTTTGAACCACCACTTTGAAGAATCAAACTTTAATCTTCTCACGCGTTAGCCAATAGTTTTCGTTAACCTCAACGAATCTGCAATATCGTCTTGCTAGCTGAATTGAACATGCATCCATTGATTGATGGAAACCAGTGTTGTATATTTTATTTATTTAAATAGTTATCTGGATCATTCCAAATAAAAGTACAACATTCACCAATAATTAATGTAATGTATGTTGCCCATTTAGGTTCATTATGGGAACGATCATTTAACTTCAAAAGGGAGGGGTATGGTTTTTTCCTATAAAAAATATTCTGATCCCCAATTTGATGAAAAAAATATTGTGTTTTGTTGCTCCCTTATACCTTTTAGGTTAATATGGTCGTGTCTACATCACAAAGTTTACATAAGAGTACAGACAAGCCTATGTAACTAAAAAAATTTTAAGGCATGGCTGTACCCAGATATATAAAAGTTATATACATTTTATGTGTCAGAAATTCAAAATTAAAACTTACTTAAAACTTGGATTTTGCACTTTTCTCCAGTCTATAGTAGAAATTAAATAAACATGACAAACGTATCAATCGAAATCAACGAATTAAACATCGTATAAATTATACACTTCATGATCTCCTATCTATATTTAAAAACAATATTAGGCATCAATTATTATGAATATTCGCATATAATTACAGCTTTTTGCCACCATAGGCTGTTCCCGCTTATCGATAAACCTGAAGATCATAAACGGCACTTTCTGAAAATTATGTTTATTAACAGAGGCATTGATTTTATCAACTTATCTAATATATCAAATGACTCTACCTTTCAAACTTTATACCTTCCTATTTTGATAACACAGAACCACCTATTATTTCGTACACATATAAAAAACCCACCAGAAGTTTAATTTTTTATTATACGTCAGTAACATCAGACGTCAATGTAGAAAATAATACTCCTCTATCTCGAAACTGTGAATCGTCGAATTTTAAATAAGATCCCTATGACCATGTTGTTACGGGGGACCTCAATATCGTTCAAGACAGAGAGGTTAAAAACTTTTTGAAAAAGGACCAAATATCGTCCTCCATCTAAAATAGATTGGAAACAGTGTCGTCAGATCACAAAAGACGCTCTATTATCGTATTGTAAAAATTGGTGTTATCGGGAAAAATCTGATAAAAAATTCTCTTGATTCTTATTCAAATAAATGTATGAATGTTGTGGATATTCGAATATCACATTTTGAAAATAATTCATAAATAAATAAAAGAAAACATAATACGCCTATTTCTAGAATAAGAATTAAACTTCAAGAACTTTCAAAGCAGTTTGTGTTTGTACCGGCTGACAAAGCAGCCAACAATGTGGTGGGGGTATGCCGTAAATACTACACGGACGTTCTTAAGAATGAAATTTTAATTTCATCTACATTCAAGTCCGTGTGCTCCACAGAGAGTCATATAGTAAACAAACATATCATAACCATATCACTGCTTAAGGCCTCTTCTGAACATTTGAATGTCCTTACTATGTATTGGTTACCTAAACTAAGCAAAAAAACTTTAAATAACGATTCATCTCGGTGTCTAGTAAGTGTTCTACAACTAGTCTTTCAGTGCTTTTAACTAGTCCTTTAACTACTATCAAAGAACTTATCATTAACTTTTGTAATAAAATAAATGAAAATAGTGGAATCAACTATTTTTGGAGTGTAAAAAATTCTTTTGATCTTTTAGATAAATTACGTGCTTTTGATGGTCCTTTTAATTCTGTTGACAGTTTTGACATTTCAACTCTTTACACTATACTTCCACACAATCTTATCAAACAAAAGTTTTCCTATCTAATTAAATGATCGTTTGGTAAATCTGAATCTGAATATTTGCTGCAACTCATTTAAAGTCTTCTTCTCTAATGAGAAAGGTAAATAGGCTAGATATACTTACTTGAGGTGTGATGAAATGATTAAAGCTGTTAATTTTCTCCTTGATTATAATTATGAACGTTTCGGCAAAAGAGTTTTTCGACAGGCTGTAGGTATTCCTGTGGGCACTAATTGCTCCCCTTTAATAGCAGACTTGTTCTTGTATTGTTATGAATCACAGTTTATGACCAAACTCAGTAAAGACCCGTCTAAATTGCATTTAATTGATAAATTCAACAACACTTACCGTTATCTTGATGATATTTTTTCATTAAATAATCAAGAATTTTCTAAATATACTGCCGAAATTTACCCAAACGAACTTACTTTAAATAAATCATATATAAACTGTAATAACTGTCCTTTCCTATATTTAGATATTTCAGTTTTACACGGGAAACTCTACCCTAAAATTTACGACAAAAGGGACGACTTTTCGTTCCCTATTGTTAATTTTCCGCTATTGGATGGTGATGTTCCTTTGGCACCATCTTACGTTGTTGGTATATCACAAATTGTTCGCTATGCCCGTATTTGTTGTGACGTTTTGGATTTAAATGAACGTTATCTATGTATTACTGGTAAATTATTAAGTATTGGATTTCGTTATCACAAATTACTTTAAAACTTTACTAAATTCTTCTATAGATATAAAGATTATTTTTGAATCTTGGCTGTACCTGTAGAAAACTTATTTCAAAATTATTTTATATAGCACATTTTCATTTTTACGGAGATGTTGTTTACCGTGCCCGGTCCTGGTACACTTACCGATTCTTCAAATAAACTTATTCTAAAAGGTTATTAATTGAACACTGTAATTATATCTTTGAATATTGTTTTATTGGTATTTATATTGATTTTGTTATCAGTAAATTAAAAGCAACCTAAATATTTTTGTTATATACATATGCATATTCATGGCTCTACAATCTGTCGATAATTGTATCTTGGCATTGCACAAGGTCGTGTTTTTCTCTGACTGTTTACTAAATCAATTGGATGTTGGATGTGTACTGATTAATGATTTAGTCTTAGATGCATGATTTTTTTTCATTACGTCTTCATCATATGAAAATCAAGCACAATCCCTCCCGTTAGGGGTTTAGTATCACACCATTTAAAAATATATGAGAAGAACATAACCCGTATCATGACAACAACTGGTTTTAGAAGAAATGTGTTTATTTATGCAATGACCCTATGAGTGAATCAATATTAATTCCAAAATATGCCATCTTTAATGATCTGACAACAGTGTCGTAACTATATCCCTTCTGAATAAGTCTGTTTAAAGGTTTGGTAAGTTTTTGAGGTGAATTCCGACATACCAACACTCCAAAAGTAATTAATTCCACTATTTTCAAAGGCTTTATTTGAACAATTTATTATCAGGTTTTTGATTGTACCAAATGTACTAGAAAATAGAATAGACAGTTTAATATTGGAACAATGGCTTGAAGTAAGTAATAAATCTATATTTGTAAGGTGTTTTGTGCAACTTCGGAGGCCAGTACATAATTTGAACTTTTATTGTATTTGGTTCTGTTTGTAAATAGATAGTTAAAAGTTTATGTTTGTTACAGATGTCATTTAACGAAAATGGAGTCAATTGGAATGTTGGTGAATTCGTAATTTTCTTTTGCAGAACCTCAATGTAAAATTTATTATCAGCCGGGACAAAATACAAATTCCTCGGCGAGTTCTTTTACCCTATGTTTGAAACGAGAAATAGGGCTATTATGGTTATTGTTAGGAATATAATGGTCTTAAATATGCTTAATACGAATACGAGGAAGAAAGAAGGAATTTAAAATACACGGAAATAATCTCACAATGAACAAGGATGGTCATAAATATCGAGATTACATTATATTGAAAATTGAATACATAAAAGACATAAAATGACGGTGGTAATTCCCCCGTGGTCTATAATATTTTCACAAGACTATTATTTCATGTGTGTACATATATGTTGTTTACAGTAGATCTATATTAACTTGGATAATAAACTTTTAAGTTTGTTCAACCTCTTAACTGAACACTTCAGCAAAAGATTTAAACATGAAAAATTTAAATATAGATTTTATTAACTTATGTATTTTCCCAATAAACAATCCAATGTACTCGCATTTCTTGCCAAATTATATAATAAATGTACTTGTAACACCATTTTCCATTTTCTCCGTCTCTGGACTTTGAGATTGAATTTTTTTCGGCGGAACTTTCAGACCCAATTTTGCCATGAAATATTCATTGACCGCTTGAAATTTTTGCATAGATACAAATTCTTACCTTTTCCGTGCTTGATGATGCAAAATATTTCCAGAAATATATAAGAGTAATGATGAAATAAGTTACGATTCCATTTGAGGTTTGCAATGATCTACTTTGATTTCAAGGTAGTTTTACTTAATTTCCCCAAGATTCTTCACTTCCGGAGAATATATAAAATATCAAACTCGGACATATTTGAACGTTCCGGATATATTCTGGTCCATCAAATTTTATGATATCATACAGAAATAGCTGATATTATACCATCTACATACCACAATACATTATGTAATGTGTTACAACCTTAAATAAAACTGACGATGAAAGACATTACTCGACTAATAAGAATTAAATTATAATACAAGAATAGCCTAGGGCGCTGGGCAGAATTCCGTCGGTATTGCCGCGATATCACAGAAGTATGGGTTTAAATCCGGCTGAAGGCAGAACAATATCCGCTACTGCAAATTTACAGATCTAACACGGTTTTGCGAAGTATGTAATAAATAATACTTTAGTGTCAAATAAAACATTTAGTTGCTTGTGACAAAGAATAAAAACACAATATACCAATTTGACAAAGAAATAATATTTCAATTGGTTATAAATAAACACATGAACAATTATGAGAGTTCTGTCCTAACTTCTAACGGCTGATTTCAAAAAGAAGCCAGTAACTTTTATATATCCTATAGAAGAAAGGTTAAGCATCTCTTAAATTTTTTGTTCTTTAGGGAGAGACATAAAACTATCAAAAAGTTTACACCAAAAAAAGAAAGAAAATTATACAATTCCTGTTTTTTTATGAGGTGGATATGCGGTTTTATTGATTTAAATTAATTTTTAAAAAGGCGATATTCAATAAAGCAATCATTTTATAAGTGAGTCAAACACATATTTACCGAAAGAAAAGACATTTATTGTTTTATTCCATATCTAGAAATATTAAATTCACTTAATGACAACTAAATACCAAAACTACTTTTTATATTTTAATGTATTAAGGAGGAACTATACGGTAATAGCAAACTAGCATATCTAGATTACATAATTATATAATTAGCGCGATGAATATCACTTTTTATCAGTTGAATATGCTGTTTTATTCAAACTCCAAATATTATGGAAAATCCTACACAAAAGAAAACAATATAAAAAAATGTGTAATATTTATCTTGGAGTCATCAACAATTAATAAACAATTAAATACGCCATTGTTTGTTCCGAGTCGACAAAATATTTAAATATTACATTCCATTACAGCGACGAATCCAGGATTTTCGAAAGGGAAAGGAATATATACTGCCGAGTGTATCGAGTTGTAAAAAAAATGGACGATTTTATGTTAAAAAATGATATATTTTCCAATCAAGGTGGAGGAGAATGTCTCTGCGCGCTCATAATGCAATACTCTTTAAGAATTGGTCAGTTAAAAACATGAATTCGTTAGCATTGGAAAAACAACATAATTCCAGTGATTAGAAAGGAGAAACTTTACTGTTTTGCCTGTTTGGAACTTAACATAATTTAGAATCTGGTTGTTTAAATCTGATGACTAATGTAATAACATTCAATGTTTATAATATACGAGACAAGACTTGTAATAACCACATGTCAGACTTTTTTTTATCTGGAGTTACTTCAGTAAAATTATTTCAGAAAAATTAAACAGTTTTTTTTGGATAAAACTGTACATAGTGATAAAATAGACAAGACACATATAAAATGTTGACTAGTACGTACCTGTTTAAAAACGACAACTACCTGTATGAAGATATTTTTAATAACATCATTGATGTTATATAATTATTCATTATCGATTTTATTTGAACAGTTTACCCTTCATATATTTATCTATTGTCATAAAAAATCATTATATCAAATAAAATTATTAGATTTGGCTAACTAAGTCCTTATACTTGAATAAAATAACATTCATTTTTAGTGGAAAATTGTTTTAACGTTAATTAAGCTCTAATTAAAAATCGTTTGCTAGCCACTCTTTGTGAATAATGTAAGATAATTCTGCTTTATTTTCCCAACATTTTATCATTATTTGGAGAAAATATAATTTGGTTTTCATTTATAGTCTTTTTCAAAAAAATTAAAATGTGCTATATAGGTTCAAATCATAATTTCTCAATAAAGCATTAGACATAAGTTTGAAGTTTCTGAAGTGGCGGTTACGGTGTTATGGTTTTGTGTTTATGCGTATGTGTATCTTGTGTGTGTTTGTGTAAGGGGGTGTTTTACTTCATACATGTATTTGTTTTTAGGGAATCAAGTAATACAGATAAATTAAGACAATATGTCTGCTTCATTTGAATTCTGACATAATTATATACACCATATTACATCAATAAATGCTTATACAATTGGCAGGATCAATGCTGTTGGAGGTTATATGATGCGGACAACAACTTAAAACAGTGTATTTGTTGTTCCCGGCCGATAAAGCTGCTAATAATATTATTATTGTTTGACGTAAATTTTATATTGAGGTTCTGAAAAAAGAAATCACCAATTCACCAACATTCCAACTGACCCCATTTTCAGAAAACGACATCTGTAACAAACATAAACTTTTAGCTACCGCTTTACAAGCAGAACCAAATATAATGAAAGTCCCAACTATGTATTGGCTTCCGAAGCTACACAAAACACCTTACAAATATAGATTCATTTCGTCTTCAAACCATTGTTCCACTACTAAATTGTCTATTCTTCTTACCAGTACACTTGGTACAATAAAAAACCTGATAATAAATTGTTCAAATAAGGCCTTCGAAAATAGTGGAATTAATTACTTTTGGAGTGTCCAGAACTCGTTTGACGTACTTGATAAATTGCATGCATATATTGGTGATTTTGAATCTGTTTAAAGTTTTGATTTTTCTACCCTATATACCACATTGCCTCACATTCTCATTAAGAAAAAATTCACACACCTAATTAAATGGGCATTTAAAAAGTCCGAATGTGAATTTATATGTTCAAACTCTTTTAGGTCATTTTTTAGTAGCAATAAACAAAAAAACTATGTCAATTGGACATGCTTTGATACCAAATATGCCCTTGAATTTTTACTAGATAACATTTTTGTTCGCTTTGGAGATTCCGCATATCGTCAGGTTATCGGAATTCCAATGGGGACTAACTGTGCACCACTTATTGCGGACCTTTTTTTGTATTGCTATGAGTTACAATTTATGACAAAAATCAGCAAAGACCCATCGAAACAACATCTGATACACAAATTTAATAATACTTTTAGATATTTGGATGATATTTTGGCTCTCAATAATGACGACTTCAGTATGTATACTAAAGAAATTTATCCTGTTGAACTTACTTTAAATAAAGCTAATACTAACAATGACCACTGCCCTTTCCTCGATCTTGATATCTATATCATTAACGGAAAGCTTAATACTAAAATATATGATAAAAGAGATGATTTTTCATTTCCTATCGTTAATTATCCATTTTTAGATGGTGACGTTCCCTTGTCACCATCTTACGGTGTTTATATATCTCAACTTGTACGATTCGCTCGTGTATGTAACAATGTTTTAGATTTTAACGAGAGAAATTTATGTATTACTGAAAAATTATTACACCAGGGTTTTCGATATCACAAACTAGTCAAAACATTTACTAAATTTTATCATCGGTATAAAGACATCATTCGTAAATATAGCTCAACATGCAGACTTCTTATACGTTCAGGTATTTCACATCCAATTTTTTATGGAAATATTCTTTATAAAGCACAAAAATGTCAGTATTCACCTCTGAAGCTAACAAAACCTTTAAATAGACTTATTAAGAAGGGATATAGTTACGATACTGTTGTCAGGTCATTAAAGATTGCATATTTTGGCGTTAATATTGATTCACTTATAGGGTCTTTGCATCGGCACTAAACACATTTATTAAAAAACCAGTTGTTGGCATGACACGGGTTATGTTCTTCTCATATATGTTATGATGGTATGATACTAAACCCCTAACGGGAAGGATTGTGCCTGATATTCATATGATGAAGACATAATCTTTCAATCAGTTTAATTGAAGTCTGGAGCTGGCATGTCAGTTAACTGCTAGTAGTCTGTTGTTATTTATGTATTATTGTCATTTTGTTTATTTTCTTTGGTTACATCTTCTGACATCAGACTCGGACTTCTCTTGAACTGAATTTTAATGTGCGTATTGTTATGCGTTTACTTTTCTACATTGGCTAGAGGTATAGGGGGAGGGTTGAGATCTCATAAATATGTTTAACCCCGCCGCATTTTTGCGCCTGTCCCAAGTCAGGAGCCTCCAGCCTTTGTCAGTCTTGTATTATTTTTAATTTTAGTTTCTTGTGTACAATTTGGAGTTTAGTATGGCGTTCATTATCACTGAACTAGTATATATATTTGTTTAGGGGCCAGCTGAAGGACGCCTCCGGGTGCGGGAATTTCTCGCTGCATTGAAGACCTGTTGGTGACCTTCTGCTGTTGTCTGTTCTATGGTCGGGTTGTTGTCTCTTTGACACATTCCCCATTTCCATTCTCAATTTTATTCTTGACAGCAGAATGAAACATGTGTTATTCACCTGAATATTTTACCTCAACTAAAAGTAGACAGATTACTTTTTATAAAATGTATTACCATAATACGGCTTCGATAGTAACCAATTCCAGGATTAGTTTGAGGCTGATGCACTATCTATACTCTCACTCAAACTAAGTAATTTCATGATGAGATGTTTTTAACGACCTTGTTTACCCATGAGGGTCTTTCCCGGTTGGTGTTAAATTAAGTAACTTATTGCGTAACTAAATACTATTTATAAAATTATGAAAGGTTCTATATATTGGTATATAATAATTTCAAACGTTTCAAAACAAATAGAGGAAGTTAATTATAGATATACATAAATGTCTTTAATAAACCAATGATAAATACTAAAATCTATTAAATTTATAAATTTTGTAATGATTTAAAATTAAATTAAATAACTATACGTAAAGATGAAATTATGAACCTGTACAAAAAAACGCATTGATTCGATAGACTTTTTGGAATTGAAACATAGTTCAAAGGGATGTCACTCTTGTATACAAATGACACATCAAACGAATTAATTAACACAACATTCGTGC